GTTAAGACTCTTTTGTCTAGTCATCAAAGAAATTATCATGATATTTATCCTTCACTTTGTCATGGTTGTTCCTTCAGCAAAATTCACAAACTTTCGTTTCCTTCGTCTACTTTTTTGTGCTACTGCTCCATTAGAGCTTATTTGTAGTGATCTTTGGGGACCTTCTCCTATTCTTTCTTGTGATAAAAAAAATCTTATTACATCTTGTTCTATGATCACTATAGTAAGTTCAGCTGGCTTTATTTTGTTCAATATAATTAAGTCCCAACTTCTCAATGTCTTTATTCATTTTTCGCCAACTCGTGAAAAAAAAAATTTGGCCTTCCCATTAAAAATTTTCAATATGACTGGGGCGGTGAATTTCAGGCTCTAACCTCTTATCTCACATCTAATGGCATTATTCATCGTTCCTTTTGTCCTTATACTCCGGAACATAATGGTTGTGCTGAAAGGAAACATCAACATATTGTTAACAATGGTCTTGTCATGCTCCATCAAGCTCATGTTCCTCTAAAATATTGGCATTTGGCATTTGATAGTGCGTGTTATCTCATCAATCATACTCCTACTCCTCTTCTTAAAAATGCCTCTCCCTTTGAAACTCTGTTTAAACGTCAACCTGAAATTCTCAATCTACGTGTGTTTGGCTGCCTGTGTTATCCCTGGTTGAGACCACAAACATCTCATAAGCTTGCCCCTCGCCCACTTCCTTGCATTTTTCTAGGCTATGGTAACTTACACAAAGGCTACCGGGGTCTTATCCTGTTTCGGATCGGATTTATATTAATCGGCATGTTCTTTTTATGAAACCAAGGTTTCATATGCTTCCATTCCCCTACCCCAAATGGCACATTCTCACCCTCCCTGACTCCTGCCTCATTCTTCGATCTTCTCCACCCCGTTGGGCCATATTCCCCGGCCAGCGATCCATGTCCCATGCCCACTACCCAACCTAATTCACTCTCTCCAGGCCCTACAATTACTTTGCTTCCTTCTATTACCCATTCCCCTCTCCCATCACCACTCGTACCTTCCCCTAGTGCAAACCCATCCGGCCCATCTACTTCTCCCCAGCCTTCCCCACCCTCTGTTCTTGATCCAGCTCCCACTCCAATATCCCCATACCCCATTCCCTAGAACCCAATTCCCTTTTCCTCTCCGTCTTACCCTTCCACGGGTGGAGGATTCACGCCTAGAAGAAGAAGAAGAAGAAGATCTTGAGTTCAAATTTGTAACCCCCTCTCTTCTCTCTCTCTAGAAACTCACTCTTTTCTCTTGGGTGTTGTAGATCCCTAACTAATACTTTGTAATTACTTGTTTAGATTGAATGATTGTCATTGGGTATTGTTTAATTCAATGATTGAGGTATTATTCATGTTGATTGTGCATGCTCGTGCTTAGCAATCTAAGGGTTGTGCATGTTTTGTGCTTAGCATCCTTAGGTTTGTGCATGTTGGTGCTTAGAAACCTAAGGATTGTGCATAATTTTGCTTAGCATCCTTATATTTGTGTATGTTGGTGCTTAGCAATCTAATTAGCCACTTTAACCTAGATTAGAGAGGAAAATCCCCCTTTTAAGGGAGACTCAGTCGAGTTGGTTTTCCTTTAGCTTTTTAAGCCACCTAACTAGGTTAATTTAGGGCAAACCTCAATGTTGAATTAGGCAAATTGGCTAAGTGCTATTAAGTCGTCCAACCCTTGAGTTGAGTGAGGGAGTAAGTCAACCACCGGTTGCCTAAACCGAGAGGGTAGAGTGACACAGCCTATAATGCTTACCTCGGTTTAGCAATTGAGACTATGGTCTACGACCACATATGCATCCCTCTGCGATTCGCAGTTACCTGGCCCATAGCAATCGTTTCAATCCAACGAGTCACAGTAGCTAGTTAGGGGGGCAGCAACTCCCGGGTGAAGCTCCCTTAGTTAGACTTTTCCTTTATTTACTTTTCCTTGCTAGTTTAGTTTGTAGTTTTCTTAGTTTTAAAACCCAAACCGTTTTGCTAGATAACAACTTAAGAGATTGAAGTAGGGGTACATGGACCGGCTCGAGTCGATATTTAAATACTTGCTCTATACTGCACCCGGCTGGAGTTTAAAAACTTGGACTCTAGTCGAGATTAATTTGTGGTGTAGTTTCGTGCGAGTCAAGTTTTTGGCGTCATTGGCGGGAACAACGGTCCATTATTTTGAAAAGGTCACTCTAGCATTTTCTTTCTTGACTTTTTGTTTGTGTTTCGTGTTTCGTGTGGTGTTTTGTTTACCCACTCTTCGTCTTGAAGGGTGTTTTGTGTTTGTTTGATTTTCTTTTTGTGTTTTTGTTTGTGTAGGTTATGAATCATGGATCCCAATGGCTTCTACAATAGGTGGGGGTATCCACAACCATCCGAATGGGGGTACCCCGGAGCTTCATGGAGTGAAGAAGAAGGGGGAAGTCAAGGATGTGGGTTCTATTACCAACCCCCCCTTCCAAGAAGAACAACCATACCATTGGGGGTATAAGAGGCCTCCCCATATCAAGAAAACTTCCCTCCTCAACCCGAGGAGAAATCCAAGTTGGAATTGGCCATGGAAGCCTTCATGGGACAATCTTCAAGACCATGTGCCACTCCACAACTAGAGCCGAAAAGCCAATTGGAGCTCATGGTGGAGCGGTTTGTTCGAGGCACCGATGAAGGATGCTCGAACTTGGATCTCCTACAAGTCCAAGTTGGAGCTTGTCGTAGAGTTCATCATCACATCCACAAATTTCCGTTGCATCCCGGTCAATGGTGCACCACAGTCCCACTTATTTGACATCATATTATGGAGTGGCACTTGTTGGATCGATGTTTACGGCAATTTGAATGTGAGCAATGCTTACCATTAGATGTCCCGGAAAGTCAGAAGGCGTGCCACGGGAAAGATGGTCGGCAAGGACCTAGTAATTGGCCGTACGAGTTAAAAGAGTTCATCCTGTTGTGGGATCATAGGCAAGATGAAGACATTATGACGCCAACAGTTGTGGGGCGGATGGGGTATCATGATCCATATCTGAAAAATTACCGAAGACAATTGGTACGGTACATGACGCCTGAAGGTGTGACGGACGGTGCTTTGGTAAGTAATTTCGTTAAATTAATTCAGACTAAAATTGTTGAGAAGAATCTGTGTACATCCGGTTTTTGGGTTAATTGGGTGAGACTAAAATTGTTTGGTCCGTTTTCGCTTGAAGTTGTTAAAGATCCAGTCTAGTTCTTATTACTAATTTTGCTATAACTGAAACTGAAAATTGTATTAATCCGGTCGGTGTAACTGGATTGGACCGATTCTCAGCCATACTCCCTTTCACTTGTTAGGGTATTAGGGAGGGCTTAATTTCATGCCGCTTCCATATGACCGGGCATGTAGTAGTGTAGTTCTACATTGGTAGCTAGGGCTTGTGCAGTTTTCATATTTACAGCGCAAAGTAGTAGGGCAGCTCTACATTGGCATGCTGCACAAGTTTTTAACCAAAAATGGTGCATGTGCCAAAGGAGATTTGCCCAACAATCTCACACTAGACAATATATAATGGGTAAATATTCCGTTTAATACAAGTATATATGGCCGTACATATTTTATCCGCTTAAAATTTTCGTAATCGTATTATTTTCCATACATATTTTAGCCGCTTAAAATTTTCGTAGTCGTATTATTTTCCATCGGCCTCAATATATCGTTGCCTTCTACTTCTTCCATACTACCTTCACTTGTTAGGGAAGATTTTGCCGCAGCTTACATATTACAGGGCAAATGGTAATGTAGTTCTTCATTGACAGGGCTTTGCACAGTTTGCATATTACAGCACAAGTAGTAGGGCAGTTCTATATTGGCAGGCTGCCAATGCACAAGTTTTTAACAAAAAAGGTAATATTGCATGTGCCAAAGGAGATTTGCCCCAGTGTCGCACTAACCTGCAGCCTAGATAGAAAAGGAACTCAACGGTACCATTTCAGTTGATAGAATATCCCATTTAGCACCATTAGTTTGTCGTATTAGTTCCTACTTTAATAGCTGTTTATCTTCATATATAAGATAGGACATCCAGACTAAATTCTTAGATTCATAGTCCATCCATCCACCGCTATATCTATAATATTGCTCATTGCCTTTTCAGCATAAAGTAAGGGTAATCGCCGGCCGGCGCCTCTGGCTCTGCTCTCTTCACTATGCGCCCCTCAACTTCCAAGCGCCGCTTCTGTGCAACCATAACTAACCCGATTTCCTCTCCTCCTTCTCGGCGGTCGACACATGATGTCTTCATAAGCTTCCGCGGCGTGGATGTGCGCAACACATTCGTAGATCATCTGCACGCCACACTCCGAAGAAAACGTGTCATCGCTTTCAGGGACGATGACAATATGGACGACTCGAACGTAGGTGAAAACGTGGACCAACGTATTCTACGAGCCATCGAGGACTCGAGCTCCTATGTCGTCGTTTTGACAAGGAACTACGGGTCATCCGCATGGTGCTTGGACGAACTCGTCCATATCATGCGGTGTTCTAGGCACAACTGGGGACGTAGAAGTCGAATTTTCCCCATCTTTTATCATGTAACGCCAGAGGATGTTTCCTCCGGCTGTTACGAGTTGATCGACACAAGAGGAGATATACTTACGAAAGAGTCGATGGGTGGCTTCGAGCGCTTGCCTGGATCGTTGGAATTAGTGGTTGGATCGTCACTAGTGGCCAGTACGTAATATCAAAGCATGCCTGTCTGTCACGTCTGTCTGAATTTGTTCTGTTTACATTTAGCTACAATTGGGATAAACAGTATACATCTCGATATATATATATATATAGTGAGAAATAAGAGAATTCGGTCCATCATTATTTTTTTGTAGGTCGGAAGCAGCGTTGGTGGAGAGCATTGCCGGAACCATACAACGACATGCACATCGAGCCGCAGATAAGACCGATTCAACGGGGAGGAGCATGGAGATGCGTTATCGAAGGAGGGAAATTACAAATTAGTCCCTCTCCAATGTTCACCAATAATAATACGTTCAATCATCATGAAAGAAAACTTGTTTCTTACTACCTAAATAACAAAATGCGGGACCAAACTGAAAATAGATTAAAGTTGAGTGGCTCGTAATTCGGGAACCCCAGATTCAGTTCAGAATTTAGTTTACAACAACAATTTATTTGTGAATATATACCCTCGCCCCGGCATCCAAAACAAACTCATTTCACCTCAAAAGTTAAAGTAACGAATTATTATATATATTTATTATTTGTTGGATTTTGGGTGGATTATTTTCTTATACTAATTCTGTGTCATTAATCTAAGCTGATAAGTGACTGAAAGTAACCAACCAATGAAATGAACGATTCATCTGACCGGTCTCACTACAGCTTTGAGGTCGGAGTTTGATGTTCGGAAGCAGAAAGCTCGTCGTACATGTCAGTTATGGCTTTGGCAAAATATTCCTTAGCCTGCGGCCTCTTAATCTGCCCAACGAAGACAAAGAAAAGAAATCTCAGCAACGAGAAAGTCACGAACTGGAAGACTATCACTTGCAAATCTGTAATACCTTGAAGGTTGGAGTTAGTAGCCCATTCTCCAGGGTAAACGGCTCAGGAACAAGAGTTACAGCCTTGGCAAACTCGAAACCTCTCAACTGCAGGATTTCGCAGCGTCAGAAACAAATGATTACGAGCTCGAACTTGTGAGGGGAAATGATTTTGAGATTGGAAAGCATGAAATATTCACCTGTGCTTCTCTTCCTATTGAATCCATGTCAGCGAGGACTGCGGCTCTAGCTCTTAGATCATTGCATAGTCGGCCTAAATCGTCAGCCTGCATTGTGAAAACAAGGATCAGATGATCGTTGGCTAGAGATAGAGAGAGAACAGAACGAGATAGTTCAGAAAGCGAACCTTGATCCCTTGGGAAGTTGCCCATTCTGTCAACACGTCTGGATCCACTGATACTATGGCGACTAAGGATGAGTTGAAGCTATCACCTGTTCATGAACAAAGCAAAATCAGCAGTAACAGAAGATGTTGAACACAGAGAAGCTTGATGTTACATATGATGCTATGTCTCAGCTGTCTTTTTTACCAGAGACGAAACACTGGCCAACGAATCTGCTTTTGGTGTAAACGTTCTCGATCTTCTCTGGAGCTATGTATTCGCCCTGTGTGAGCTTGAAGATGTTCTTTTTCCTGAACCGAAACAAAATTGACGATGGAGTTAGAGATATGCTAAACAAACAAAAATCGCTTCCTGACAGTGGAGGAATGTCAAATAACCAACCTATCAACAATCTTGAGGCGCCCACCGTCTAGCCATAATCCAATATCTCCTGTATGTAACCATCCATCCTCGTCTATTACTTCTCCTCTGTGAAATTTAGGAGACGTTAGATAGCTGAAGCATAAGATGGGAATGATTTTACTGAAATGATGTGAAGATATATATGAAGGTATAGTACGTCTGGGTTTGATCTTTGTAGTAGCCCTGGAAGATGGTTGGACCCCTAACACAGATTTCACCACGAGGAAAAGGCTGGTCTTCGGAGGTGTAATTCATTTCAGGAACATCCACCAGTTTTACTTCTAAAATATGAGAAACAACATGGACAAGAGAATCGTAATTAACAGGGAAAACCAGAAGTCAGAAGCCAACAAATTGTGTCATCACCTAATAACTTCACAATACCTCACTTATTTCAATAATTTTTTCAAATTCCACTTCTCTAATAGGCTTTTTATTGATGGAACCAATCGGCTCCATCAGTGAGTTTCAGATATCCAGGACACACTCTCGGAATAGGAATTTGTAAATAAACAATATGATCCAAAATGAGACGAGCAATTATGCACTTCATAGACACCCACAAGCAGATATAGAGACAAATTTGATTGCCAATACGAAAGCTCGCTAACCACAAGCAGGATTTGGAGATCCAACGTGACCAGATAGATTGTCACCCTCATCCATAATGCTTATGATGCAAGACGTCTCAGTCATTCCATATCCCTCAAGCACTTGACATCCAAAGCACCTGTAAACCAAAGGACATGTAATAAACTGTAGTGTGAGCAAAAGCACTGATTCCCATATAGACAGAGTGATAGAAAGTGTTCTTCGGAACAAAGACTTACACCCTCAAGAAGTCCATAACATCAGGAGACAGAGGTGACGCCCCTGATCCCATAAGCCGAACCCGCCCTCCTAGCTTAGCTTTTATTTTATTGAATACCAATCTGTCCCACATTGGCGATGGAGTTCGGCCTGAAGTAATCATCTTACAGGATATCATATTAACCAATAACCACAGCTCCAAAACTTGTAGACTTTCCAAGCAGCAAGAAAATAAAAATTTAAGAATTGGCTATTTTACGACAACCCCTCAAAGTCATGAACCACTCAGGAATAGCCAATACACATACCGCTCATTATTGCTTGTTTCTTTGAGTTGAAGGCAGCATTAAACAATTTCTCCTTTAACGCTCCAGAAGTCTTCACGGCAGCTGTGATCCTGTAACAATCAAGTGATAAAAAAAATGCCAGGAAAAACTCCAAGCAAATGTACTGAAGCCTTTATCATAATCTTACCCATCATATATCCGATTATACAACCGAGGGACACTGCAGAATATTGTCGGTCTTAAAGCTGCCAAATCATCCATCAATTTCAAACTGTCCTGAATTGGCAGGGAAGCAGTAACAAATCAGTAGATTTATTGACAGCTCAAATAAACTTGACCTGCTATGACCTGTTTTACCGGTCTATGTTCCTTTAGTCCTCGTGTTGTTGATGTAACCAGTAAAACACTATTTGCTCGAGACATCTAGGTTTGGGAATTCAAGTCTGCCTATACTCAAAAGGCTAGTGAACTGGATCTGCATCGTGAGGTTGACACTACTTCAAGGAAACGGTGGTTGGTACAGGATTCTGAAAAACTAATCCCATGTCCAGTCCTCTACTGTAGCACACGTATTCAATACAGAATACTGGTAAGTATAACAGAGTGAATTGAATAACTATGTAGGAAACAAGGTTTCCTACAGAGTGGGAATTGGGGAATTTAGCGAGATCAATTAGGGATTGATCTAACTAGGGATTAGAATTGGGGATTTAGAATAATTGAGAGAGGGAATTAGGGAGCTGCTGCCGCAGCTTTTAGGAAGAAGAAGAAGAAAGGGGTCGGCGCTGGAGAGGGAAAGGAGAGGGAGAGTTTAGGTTTAGAGATTTGATTAACTATCTGCTTAATGAAAAATAATACCCTAGTACAGAATAAATAGTCTGCCTAATTTCCAACGACTACCCAACCAATTAAACATAACATTCAACTCCCTATTTATTCCCGAATACCCCAAATAATACCCTAAATCATAAAAACCGACGATAATCCGAACTAACAAAATACTGTAAATAATGTGTTTCCCACATCCCCTCTTCCTTCGAAAAACAACCTTGTCCTCAAGGTTGTTCCTCCACTTCTTACGCTTCCTCTTCTTCCAATTTCGATCAAACATCCGGACTCGACGCATAGCACAAGTAGCTCCCCCCTTCACCGAATTTTCTTCCATGCCGTAACTCCCGACATCAAAATAATGAGCAGCATGGTCCAAGTCTTTCCTTGTGAACTCCACAAAGTAAAGACCCGCGAAGTGGTCTCGATCATTAACCACGAATCCTAGATCCTCCACTGAAGGCTTCGTAGCAACCATGGTTACCTCTGCTGCACTTGTGGTGATAAATATGAGCCCGAGCTTCCATTGAACACTTCTTCCTGCACCTCGTTCCTCACACAATGAAGGATACAACCGCCCTTCCACTCCACGCATGCAACCTCTTCCATCCTCCCATTTCCACATTCCCTGCATCCATCTTGCCTTCTTAATGTCCGCCCCGTTCGTAGCCTCCTGCCCCACGTCGCCATCTCCGCTACGACCATCCAAAAGCACCTCAAACGTCTCGCTACCAGCCCCCCTTACCAAACTCAACTGCCACGAGCTGAAGTCGAGGCAATTGGGCTCAAAAAGTCCCACAAGTGGTACTCGTGCGAGGCAAGCAGGGTCCCCTTTCCATGTGCATCCAAAGAACAACAATTGCCAACAAGTGATGTTCCCTCCCACCAGTTGCGTGTCCCATGGCACGGAGATGAGCGGTTCAGGTGCAGCTATGCCGAATGACCAATGTAATATTGTTCCGTTCCCCGATATCCGCAAGTCATAGCCTCCCGCTTTATGCTGCTGTTCAAGCCGCTTCTCTATTGCTCTTTTGGAGAACTCTTCTCCTAGCGACATCACTTCTTCATCCCACCTCGTGGCTAGCTTCACAAATTGAGGGTGACACATGCATCCCGAGTAATTCAGGTCCACTAAAACTGAATTAGCCCATACTTGAGTTCGTGGCAAATCCCACCCAATAATCAAATGCCCCTGGTCTCCGTATAACCAATCAAGCAAAGTCTTCACAAGGATTTCCTTTCCTAACTTGTTGCCAAACCCACAAATTAAGGGCGAGAAAGACAATTTTGGTGGCTCATTCCCCCTTGGTTCCAATCGATTCATACCCTCTTCCTCTGTTACTTTATCCCCAAAGTTCCAATTATATATATAAACGAAACAAATTGAGAAGCAATTAAGATACTCCAACCTGCTAGGTACTGCGGGTCCCCTGTGCAACTGGCTAACTCCATCTTTCCATCTCGACATCTTCAGGGCCGTAGTAGCCTTGACGTCGAAACGAATCTCTACAGGACCGTAACCTTGTTCCCGGGTCGGTTTGGAGCACCCGACAGCTTGCTGATCAATCCCGGACTGTACGGACTGTCCTATGATTAATCCCCACGTCATCCTACATTTCCAAGTATCGATTTGACCCGGAAGCACTCGGACTAGAACTGCAGACCGGGTGGTTAATTCATCTTCTCTAACCTTCGGAGTTACTACCAGAAACGATGGCTGCCTCGACTTGGCAGTATGGCCGGGCACGCCGACAGCGGATCGCGGCTCAGCATCTCGCTCAGTCTCTCCATCTACTAGACTCGCCGTCAACTTCTCAGTAGCTTCTTGCTCCGAGGCTGACAAGAATTCGCCCGGTGGAGGCCACGGCGGCGAGGTGACCCGCAGCCTGGGGATGACAGCATCTCCGATCGAGTGCTGATTCGGCCCTCGCTCGGTCTGGTTTTTTGGATCCATGGCGACAATCGATGGAAGGGTGTCATGGAAGTCATTGAGTGATCGCGTTCTTCCGACATCCATGGTCGGCTTCTTGGTGGTTGGGACTGGAATGGTTGTGATGACTTCCGTAGAGGGCGGCGGCTCTTTGGTGAGGGACTTCAAACCAGAGGACGCAATGATGGCGGAATCGTCGCCTGTCCGCGGCCACAGCTTCTGCTCCGCTCCCTTCTTCTGCTCTACGCTGCTGAGCGTCTCTTCTGTGGCTGGCGGCTCGATTACCAAAACCTCTTCCACGTCCGGTTGCTCTGCTCGCCTCTCAAGATCACCGTCTGAGTCAACCTGCACAACCGACGGTTGCTCTTCTGCGGTGGTGGCATTCCCAGTCGGCAGCTCCTCGGAGCTCCATCGACGGCCGATGCGGCGAGCCCGGTCACGCAGCTCTGCCCACGACAGGTTCGAGAGCTTTGAAGAGCTCATCGTCGAACCAGTTGTAGAACTCGTCCCCGGTTGAGAGTTGTGGTGAACTCAATTCTCGAACCGGGCTCTGATACCAGATGTAGGAAACAAGGTTTCCTACATAATGGGAATTGGGGAATTTAGCGAGATCAATTAGGGATTGATCTAACTAGGGATTAGAATTGGGGATTTAGAATAATTGAGAGAGGGAATTAGGGAGCTGCTGCCGCAGCTTTTAGGAAGAAGAAGAAGAAAGGGGTCGGCGCTGGAGAGGGAAAGGAGAGGGAGAGTTTAGGTTTAGAGATTTGATTAACTATCTGCTTAATGAAAAATAATACCCTAGTACAGAATAAATAGTCTGCCTAATTTCCAACGACTACCCAACCAATTAAACATAACATTCAACTCCCTATTTATTCCCGAATACCCCAAATAATACCCTAAATCATAAAAACCGACGATAATCCGAACTAACAAAATACTGTAAATAATGTGTTTCCCACAAACTAACCCCCTGATAGAAGCCAACAGCAACACCATAGTACACAGCTGATATTTGGTTCGTCCGTTCGTAGATGTGTGCCAAAGGAAGGTAAGAAATGTAGCTGTGAAGACATTTGCATTATGTATTAGCAGGGGAGACAGCAAAGCTCTCACGGAGAACATATAAACATGAAGCAACTGAAGTGAAATCAGCAACTCACATATCTGAACAATTGAATTTGATAGACAAACTGGAACCAGCAACACTTGCGATCAAGTTTCCATGTGTCAAGACAACTCCCTTTAGCAAGAAGTAAAGTTAACTTGGTAAGTATAGAAGTGAGATATATAAAAGAGATGATCAAAAAATATGGGGGAAAGAAGGAAATGGTGGCTTGAGGAAAACTGATATAATAAGAACATGTAAAATTACCTTCGGCGTCCCAGTTGTACCGCTGGTGTAACATATGGTTGCAACATCTTCAGGTTTAGGAGGAATGAAAGGTTGTAGACTGCTGCGGCCCTAGAACCACAAAATGCATGGTGATCAGGCGATGTGGCTGCTCTTTCTATCATAATTTAAGCAGGAAAAAGTTTCCAAGCCTTCCAGTTACAAAAATAATACACATCTTTTGTTTATGCATCATCTCATGGAAACTCCATTTTACCAAATATGCCAACTACGACTACGAAAAAATAAGCATCATCTCACTGTCGATGCTATTATATAAAGAAAGGTGGCAGGGAAACAGAGAGAGACAGGCAAGCCTATCAGTCTCTCAGTCCTCGGCAAATATAGAAAAATCATTAGAAGAAAGATTACCTCACCAATCAATTTCAGATAAGATATGAGCTTGACTCCAGAAGAAGGTAGCGATGGTAAGTTCTCATCTACACCCCCAACTACCTATCGTAAAGAAAAATACCAATAGTGACAAGGGATGAACAAAATGGGCACAGCTGATATCTGAACACATTGCTTTGAAGATATCCCAGAAATACGCACCACTATGAGCCTCACTGACGGAATCTCAGAGACAAATGTCAACAGCTGCAAGAATCAGGACTCAGGAGAGGCCATAGACAGTTAAACAATACAGTACAAACATTACTTACTGAAAGCTTAAAAAGAAGGCAAAAAATAGCTCACAGTGTTCAAGGTCTCAGGGGTACAAAAGATGGCTTGTACATCAGCATGATTCACCACAAACTTAACTGCATCTGGACCTGCATGCAGAATTTGCCGCTGTAATTACAGGGAAAACCGAATGTAGCAAGTTGTGTTCATTGTCCGAGGTCACTCACATACCAAGAGTATCATATAAGGGAACCGAGATGTATGAATATGCTGCACAAGCATGATCCACGATCAGCCATTCTGGTCTGTTTATGAAATAAGCTCCAACACAAGCTCCCTGTTCCACATTGATGAGTCAATATCTAATGTTTCACCGATACACAAACTTGAATTAAGTTCTCACTCAACCAGAGCTAAAAGTAAAACACACAAAGCAAAGAATAAGAACAGAGAGTATGACAGACAGAGTCCAGAATCCAGCTCATAACTTACCTTATCCAAGCCATGATAACGAAGGCCGGAACCTATCGCTTCCCTAGCAGTAGCAGCTTCTCCATATGTCATCCACATGTAGCTATCATTTCAAGGAACAAATCATAACCATGCCTTTCATGAGAATGATTTCCAAATACAAATTAGTCAAAGGAAAATTCTAATGGCAACATAGACAAACTTATTGTACGAAAGACCTACTCTCCAATTTTTCCATCTTGCCGAATTCGTGTCCCCAAGTACTTGTAATCTCGATAACTCTCAACAGCATGCCTGAAGCATTACACAAAGAAATTATCATTCACAGCTCAACAGTTCAAATCCTCTACCTCATAGCAATTCGTCTCCTAAGAAATCAACTTATAAATAGGAAGTGACTCACTGAAAGTTATCGTGCAATGTCCCAATCTCTGGATGATCAGGAAACCTGCTCAGAAGCTTCAATGGAGACCGCACAGATCTATCATACAAAGAATCGCACAATTCAGAGCAAACAATGTAATAGCTACAAAATTTCGCACACGAGTAGTAAGCTTTGGCAATCACCTGTAAACATTCCATTTCCCCGTCTGCAATTTCTCCGGTAGATTTACGCTGTACGTATGACCTGCTCGCAAAAATTCAACCACCGCAGCCAAACAAAAGAAATAAAAATTACGCGATTGCGAAAGTAGCCTCCACGAGAGCAGAATCAAGCAACCGGAAGCAGAGAGGACTCATCGGAAAACCTGCTCCCGATTACTACTCTTAACAGATTCTCAACATTCAAACAAAGTCGCGAACAATTTCCGGCGCTGACTTAACTGTTAACGAACTGCAACGAGGCGGTGAAGTTAGGTTGCAAACGAAGCGAGTGATCGTCGTCGCCGTCTCCGCCGCCGAGGAGCAGGTGGCTCTGAACGGTGTCGAGGCGGCGTTGAGCTGAGGACTCGTCCATGGAGGTATACTATCTTAGTTTGTTTTCTTCTTTGTTTCTGCTTGGAGAACGGATTGCCCGTGAGAATTGCGGGGGAATGGGAGGGAGGGAGGTAAGAAGTGAAAATGGTTTCGTTTGGAGTTGCTGGTGGGATTTTATTATTGTTTGAATAATTCGGGGACTGGGAGAAGAGTTAGATAAAATAAATGAAAAAAAAAAGTGGAAAACGATAGTTAGATGAGAATTGAGATGTGAAGGAGGCACGCTTTCCCGTGTACATGTGTGCCACGAATATGACGTTGGTTTTTTTTAAAGATAAGGGTCAAATTTTCCCGGCATACCGGATAGCGTGGGGTTTTTCCATAAATAATGTAATTTAAAATAGTTTGGCTCAAGAAAATATTTTCAATCTTCTATTGCCCTAAAAAATAAATTGGGTTTCAAATATGCAAGGAATGGCAAAGAGTTAGAGTTGCCGATCTCAATCCCTAAATATTTTGGTATTCCAATCGGTACGTCAGTATTCCAATTGATATTATGAAATACAAAATTAATTATCTTTATAATTAATAATTAAATTTATTATTTAGATTTGATTGTTTAATATAGAACAAAGAGACTAAGCAAAGAGTTAGAGTTTGGCTAGAGCTAGGATATGAATAAGGAGAATGGAGGAGAAGTGAAATCTCAAGTTTTTGTCATTGGAAATCTTTAATTTGACGAATTGGAGGCTGAGAGAAGACTAATACTAGTGTTTGCTTTTTGGTGTTATTAAAATAACAATAGATTGGTGGTTGAGCTTTTCTTTCATTGGTCTCGGGTGAAGTCTCTAGCGGATCTTTCCTTCTTTGGCGAAGTATGAATTCGTCCATGTTGTATACCCGAAAGTTTTGAAAGACGAAGAGCTTGATACGATGCCTCAATATCATTCAAAGCCTCTTTGCGTTAACGAAAACCTCGTGCAGTAGTGAATGAGAGAGTCTAGTTGAGAGGATAAAATACACACTAGCTTATATTTCGTATTGTTCGGTATTTCGGTATTTACCAATTCCAATCTTGTAGTCCCTAATACCGAATAATATGAAACTTCAATAATCATAATAATATAACAACCTATTGGAGTTAGTGTTATGGGTGGTAAACGGTTAGTCGAATATCATTTTTAACTAATAACCGAACCGATAACAACTGATAATAGTTGACCGATAATCGCTAATTTTTTAGTGGTTCGACTTTGGTTAGTTGTATTTTGCTTAGTGGTTAACCGATAACCGCCTACTATTATAACCATATAGTTATGGTCTTTAGCTAAGGGAAAAGGTCCAAAGATTCAAAACCAACCAAAGCGCAATTTCGGACATCCCAATTTACATTTATTGCAAACAAACCTCCATCCAAATTCAAATGTGTTTAAAATTCAGAATTCAGAATTCATCCTCTCTAACACCCCTTTGCAATCGACGGAACGAACAACGCACTGTAGTAGTCTTTGTTTCTTTGATGTTTGTGAACAATGACGATCTTAGTTCTTGTGTTTGATGACTTGATAGTTGGTATTCAGTAATTAGATGGAGATGTTTGATTATTTGTAATTTTATGTGTTGGAATTTGGATTATCAACATGATGGATACATGTTGATGTTATTTCTTATCATAATAGCATTTTCTACCCCTCTACTATTGCAAATTAACAAATGTACCTCTTTACTAATTTTTTGCACAAACGTACCCTTCTACTATTAAAACGTAACAAATATAATCTTCTGTCTAATTATCCGTTAAATGGTTGTTATGTGGGTTGAGAAATGACTTAATTGCCCCTCATTTAATGCTGATTTAGTTTTAATTATTCTATTCAAATAAATTAAAATTAAAACAAACCTTAAAGAAATCCCTTCCACCCAACTAGAAATCATTTGTCTCGCAGCTAAAAGGGTGGCGCTCAATTCTTCCTTGTCGCACAGTCGTCGTCGGACTGGTCGAAGATGCATTTGAAGAATCCATGGGTGACGATGTCGGCCACCTGAACGTCGTTTTTGTTACATGAGCTGCTTTGGCAGCCTACCCCGCAGTGGTCGGCGGTAGTTCCATATAGCCACATTTGCTGCAGCACACGTCGGATGCGCAACCAAAGTTCTGAGCCACAACGACGGAGGCCAAAGCTCCGACGATAAAAACAAAGAGGAATTTTAGAGTGATGGTAAGAGTGGATGGAGGCATTATTAGCAGGGTGGGTTTGGGTGAGTTTGGGGAATTCTCTAGGGGGTCGTTTGGATTAAGGATTTTAATATGAGAGATTTGTGAGAGATTTGATACCAAATCTCTCAATTAAAAACCTAGGAAATTAAAATGTAGGATTGTGATAAAATCACTTGTTTGTTTAAGGATCTGGGTTTTCTATAACAAAATTTAAAAGACAAATTTGACCTTCCCTTGCTCTTCGTCTACCTCGCCAACATTCCAATAAAAAACCAGCACCCTCTTCAATTAAAGATGCTAGTCAATCTTCACCACACTTCATTTGAAGATGCCCGCCGCCTTTAATAGAAGATGCCCAATCGGCTTCACCGAGCAAGAGAAATGGCTCCAGCATGAAGGATTTGTTGGTCGGCTACGGCGAGATAGATATGCTCATCGGCTCTAGCGTAAGGGATTCGAGCAAGGGAGGATGAATCACCCAGCAAGAGAAACAGCTTTCGGCATGAGAATTTGCTCGTCGACATCGTCAACAAGAGAAAAAGATTCCAGCGACGTTCGCAGGTATAAGATTGGTCTTCTTCTTTTTAACCGACGGCTCCGAAGTAGTCGGAAATCGTTTCAAAAACTGTTTAGCTTCCGGCGACGAAACTCACGGACTAGGAACACGAATTATCTCCGAGTGGCAGCAACCCAGAACACTAGACTTGGGTTTTCAGGTATCTCGTTGAAGGTGCTGGTTGATTCCGGTGGAGGGATCACATGACAGAGGAGAAAATAAAGAAGTGTCGCATGGATGAGGGAGGGGTACAGATTGGAAAAAATGAAATAAAAATGAGAGATTTGGAAATAGCTGATAGCCATAAGCTATTTCAAAAACCTGCATTTGAGGGTTTTTGAAATCTCTAATGTTAAAAATCCCTCATCGTTTATATCCTTTCCAAACGAGTAATTTTATTAAAATCTCTAATTGTGAGAGATTGTGTTAAAATCCCTCATAAAAAACCCTCATCCAAACGGGCCCTAGGGGATTTGTTTTGTAGGGAGACGGGAGTAGAGATTGAAGACTGACTGGGTCATTTTGGGGTTGCTCTGCCTCTGAATACGTTTGGGTAGAAGGTGGTTCTTTGTGGCACATTAACAAAACCAAGGGGGTGTGGAAAAAGCAAAACAGAGACCTTGAACTTGACTCGTTTATTTTATTTGGTGGGATTCTTGGGAAGAATCGAGCGTCCAGCTGTGGAGAAGAGGCCTAGTAGAGAGTTAGCAGTCGTGTAGAGGGATCAACCAGGGAATGACGTGGTCCTTCCTGCTCTAACGGTCGGCGATGAGAAGTCGGGAGCAGCCGCCAGGGGGTTGATCGGTGGCGGAGACTTCAGGGGAGTCAGGTCTAATGGTTTCTCTTTGGGTAGCGGGATTTCTTTAGGTTTGTTTTAATTTTAATCGATTTGGGGAAAAATAATTAAAACTAAATTAGCATAAATGAGGTGCAATTAAGTCATTTCTCAACCCATTAACAGTCGTTTAACGGATAATTAGATATAAGATTATATTTGTGACATTTTAATAGTAGAAGGGTATATTTGTGCAAAAATTTAGTAGAGGGTACTTTTGTTAATTTGCGATAATAGAGGGGTAGAAAATGCTATTAACCTTTAGTATTTTGTGTAATAATGTAGAGGAATAGTTAAATTATTTTACAAGTGGTTAGGATTAAATGACATTTGTGCAATGACACATGTTATACTTAATTGGATGATGATTTGTGTATTAAAGGTGATTATTGCTTTGCTTTATTACATTTCGTGAAAGAAAATAGAAGTTATTGATTTCATATTTGGTTTGGTTAGGTATATTCGTACTTGTTGGAACGTATGTTAGTCGTTATTGGTTAACCTCTAAACTAACCACTAGTCGAACCGATAAGGCTTATCAGTTCAGTTATCGGTATGAATTTTTTACTAATTGGTTAACCGCTAACCGCCGTATCGGTTAGTGGTTAACCGACACTGAATCGAATTTCATATGACTGTTAAAATTAATTGTTGACCTAATGATGGTCAACCTTCGTCTGACCATTGATGAAGTGATGCTTATGTGTCACCCATGTCGGGGCCACTCAAAAAAAATTAAAAATAATAAAAACCACCCTCAACCCCATCTCATCCTTCGACTTCTCCTTCTTCTCCTTTGTCGCCATTGTCTCTCCCTTCTATGGCCCCTTGCAAAATACCCAAACCCTCCCTCCCGCACAAACTCCACCCTAACACTCCGATATTTTAGATTTGGGTTCGCCCATGATAAAAGATCAGTTCGTTTGACGGTTATGCACGAAGGATTGCGACCATAGATTAGTAATAATAATAATAATAATAGTTATTATTATATCTATTAGTAATAAACAGAGAAATTCCGACTTTAACGTAACATATGTCAGTTATTTTTTTTTATAAAGGTAATACCAATTTAGTAACAGCAAGAAGGAAAATATTAGAACACAAGAAAGGTAACAGAAAATCTAACTCATATTCACGGATTAATTAAATAATTATATTAATGATTTGTTGTTAATTAATTAATTAACATGTTTAATATCTAAAAGTAAGAGCAACCTTGGAATATTAAAATTTCATGAGGATATATGAGATTCACAAGTCCATTAAACACTCGGAGTTGGACGTAAAAATCCAAGGCCCCACAAATTTGATCCAAAAAATGATAGAGCAATTAATGAATTTCTATTAAATCCATAATGATCATGGATTTGTGCCCTAATCCATCCCTCAAATCCAAAATGCAAACCACCCCTAAAATGCAGAGGAAGAGTATCAAATAAAAGCAGAAAGTTGTAGGTAGAAAAATATATTTTCACTTGAATTTGTATATGTTGTTGCTTAATTAGTATTTTTCTATTTTACATGGCACTTTTATGAATGGCTTGGTGATTGAGGATTTTAGAATTTGGGTCAACTGTGAAGGTTGTATATGGTT